TTAATTACACAAATTGTGCTGTTATTCTAATACAATTTGGTGCTAATGTAACTGACTTAAATGAAAGATTTATTACATACACTAATCATTCAAGCTGTAAAAATGGCTATTGTGCTGCAAGAATTACTCGGTCAAAGCGGTCATTTGATACATTTAATATAATGGAATCAAATGATGATATATTACCATACCTAATTAGTTTAAATGATCAAGCACAACGTTTTAATCAATACATTAATTGTACTCAAAATGTTGTAGCTATGATGTGTCATGATATATCATATGATGCTAAAGTTCCCCATGTTCAAGAAAATCTAAAAGTAGATAATAGGTAAGAGATCTTATAAATTCAAAATAATATCAGTATTTTAATTAATTACTATCTTATAATTATAGTCAAAATGAGCCAAATAATCAGACAATTGACAACAACAATTGACAACAACAATTGAAAGGGAGTTACAAGAGATCCAGAAAGTTGAAGGATATAATATGTTCCAAGAGGTTTGGTTGAAACACTTATTAAATCAAATACAATGTCCATCTACACTGTTACACATCCTAAAATCAAGCCATGGTTTAGATATTTATACAATCCAACAAACCCTTCATCATCAAGATATCGATGCGATTCCTGTTTTCTATATTTGCACCTCCTTAGATTTAATTATAAAATTAGAAGTTTACCAATTATATCTGAACATGGAGAGCTTAAAGAAACAAAAGAAAAAAATAGAGCTGCCTTAAGAAATCATGCCAAAAATCCAATTCATTTAAAGGTGTTGGATTGGGTGGAGAAGTATTCCAATGGAGAACAAGTAAGCCCAGATGATTTATTAGATAGCACTGCTAAATATGTACGAGAGCTGCCTTAAGAAATCATGCCAAAAATCCAATTCATTTAAAGGTCAACCTAACCCACCTCTTCATAAGGTTACCTCTTGTTCATTCGGGTCTACTAAATAATCTATCGTGACGATTTATACATGCGTGTCATATATGAGAACAATTTTACGTACCATCACAACTTCTATAAATTGATTTATATTGGTTACAATATGCTAATGGAATAGATTTGCATAAAACTTTCATTAATAAAGAAAGCGTTTCAAGAATGATAAAAACAATCAGTCAATACTTTTATAAAAAATTAATTGACGATATAAAATATTTGACTTCTCCTATTTCTATAATCGTTGATACTGCAACTGATGCAACTAACCACAATTTATTAATGTTACTTTTCAATGATGAGGGATTTTGAACAACAAATAGTTTTTTATAAACTTATTAAAATAAGGACTGATCAAAATGCGATTGCACTTACAAAACTTCTAAAAACAAATTTTATAGCTGATGGAATTGAAGGATATATCAAAACAAATTTAGTTAGTTTTGTCTCCGATGGTTGCAATGTTCTCCAAGGTGATATAACCTCTGTAAGCGTGTTATTAAATGATTGGTTGGGAAATCCTAAAAAACAATTATTTAAAACACATTGTTTTGCACATAAACTACAACCAAGCTTAAATAAGTCGTACAAAAAGTTTATAATGGTTAAAAGTATTGAAAGCGTTCTAAATAATTTTAGTACATTTTATTTTGGGTTCAGTAATAAAAGGTTAGCTCATTTAGAAGAATTGTCTGAGACATTGCAATTAAAATTTTATAAATTTAAAAATATTCACAAAATAAGATTCGTTGCAAGTTCACGTGATATGATTAGAAAGTTTTTATTATCATTTGATCCTGTGTATCACGAATTAAGATCTATAATCGAATGCAATTAAAATTTTATAAATTTAAAAATATTCACAAAATAAGATTCGTTGCAAGTTCACGTGATATGATTAGAAAGTTTTTATTATCATTTGATCCTGTGTATCACGAATTAAGATCTATAATCGATGATAAGTTATTTACAAAAGATGTTCAAGATAGAGCTGAAGTTTTATTTAACTTTATTCAACAAAAATTTTATGTATTCATGTTATTTTCTATGGGATATATTAGAGCTTTTGTCCACAGCTTCAAAACAATTTCAAGATAGTAATGCCGTAAAGATAGAGCTGAAAAGTTTTATTTAACTTTATTCAACAAAAATTTTATGTATTCATGTTATTTTCTATGGGATATATTAGAGCTTTTGTCCACAGCTTCAAAACAATTTCAAGATAGTAATGCCGTCTTTACTGATATTGATAAAATTATTACAACATTGATAACTGGACTCACACAATTGGAACACAATGATGGATTACACGTTAAGGAATTTTATGATTTACTGTTTATTCTACGTGAAGATGGTATGGAAGAAAACACGCAGTGGAGTATGGAAACATATGAAAGGTTCGGAATTGCCCATGATAAATACAATATTGTTTTTAAGGAGGGAGAAATTGAAAAATTTCCAAAATTATCATCATTCAGAAAAGAATTGATTTTGTCAATAATATCAGAATTAAAAGCAATTTTACCTTCTGACAAATTAAAACTATTCAGTCTATTTGAACCTAACTCAATTGGCGATGTATCATCTGAAAAATCTGATATGATTCAAGAAATATTTGAAATGTTTGGAATTGAGTTTAAAGATGACACATTTGATAAACTCCTGATTTTATTGACAGAAATATCCACCTCCAGTGATTATAATATAATGAAGACTAAACCATTTCTAAAATTTTGGAATTATTACTTATTTAGAGATGGAATTAGTTGGGATGATATTAATGCACAATTCATTAAGACTTTAATTTCTTTACCGTTGTCCTCGAGTTCTTGCGAGACTGGGTAGTATATTTACATTTAAAGGTTTTTATATTTACTAAAATTTATATTATAGATTAAGTGTCATGCAATATATTAAAGATAAACGTAGAAGTGTTATGGACGCTGAAACTTTGGACGCTCATTTACGTATTCGCCAAATTGGACCAAAATACGCTATACAACTTGATGCCACTAATATTGCTGCTGAGTGGGTAAAAGATCACAACCCCCCTGATATACTACGGCATGGCCCTGAAAAACCACCGAAAAAGATGCGGACAGACACTATGACTACTATGGATCCTATGGAAGAAATATAAGCCACTAACTTGAAATTGATATTATTTTAATATAATTATTGTTTTGTTTGCTTTAAATTGATTAACCAAGAAATATTTTATATTCAAAACATTGTTATACAATTTTACTTATTTATTGACCATTATTGTGTGAAAATGGCGATATTTATAAATTTAAATAATACTATAGTATTCTGCGTAAAATTCTCTATAAAATTGATATATCACATGTTCTAAAACGACTGACCATAAAACTCACATAAAACCCTTTACTCAAACTGACCTCTAGTCCGTTAAAGAGTGTTACTCCCGAAATAGCACATCACTGCCTTACAGATTAGGTAGTCTTTCGGGAATGTATGATTATAAGTAATAAATTTAATATTCCAGCTAATTTGTATGCCAATATATTTTCAATATTAGTTATTAAAAATCAGTATATTTTCAAATCAAATAATATAAAAATGTTAGTCTTAGTGTAAAATAACATAATACAGTATATCCTAAAATTATTCTATATTTATTTAAAAATCTCATTTACTAAAAGCTTTAATAATTTAAAATTTAGATTTCTAGACAATTTAGGAATGAATTCGATCAAGGTGATCATTATAAGATGACACGTGAAAAGTTTATGATATAAAAGTTGTGACCAAACCCACACATCGTGCACTTCGTGGCCTCTAAAACATACGAACTTAATTGAAACTGCCCAGGATGATTTAATGAGATAAACTGTAATTGGTTGTAATTATAAGTAAACTTCTGTTTGAATGACTGGCTGTAGAAATAAGTTTGTGTTCAATCATATGAACGAATATACATTTGATACCTTTAATTACATAATGGTGTCCGCACAACTCATATCACATGCAAAGTAATGATTGTCGCAAATATTTTATTAATTATTAATCGTATTTTATTAAATTATTCAAGCACAGTCTTTGTGTAAATAAATTGTGTAAAATTATTTCACATTTCTTAATTGATTAACAAAAATATAATCCTTTACTAATTTACAATAAGTAATCCGATATATGAAATGACAAGAATTCTATAATTACAGTACTATATTGAATATTTTACAATTCAAGTAATGACACAACTATTGAATTAATAAATAAAGTCATCATTTTTGAGGAATAATAAAATTATGGGATTTTTGCGAATGAAATCTCATGGCCTGACGGGAAGCAAAGCTGCGCTCGCACTGACCATTGGGCCACTCGCACCGGTAGGGACGCTCTCCTGTGTGCTTAAGCATATGTGCCTTCAGGTGAGTTGATTGACGGAAAGCCCAGTTGCAGGCATTGCCATCACCACCGACCCATTTGCACCTATTGGTCACCACATTATTTAGAAAATAACTCACTTTCATAATCTTGTCAATTATGTCTTACTTCCAGGGCTTTTCTCCGGTATGTCGATAATTATGATGTCTTAACCCGTTTTTATTAGATGTGCGGAACTCACAACCCGGCCAATCGCACCTGTCGTTCAACAAAATGCTAGAATAAGTATCAATAAACACAAACATTAAGTCTTACTTATAAGGTTTCTCTCCCGTGTGAACTTTTGAATGCCTCTTAAGCCTACAAAACAATGGGACAATCAGTTGATTGCGAGAAAGCAGTGATTGACTCACAGATTGTTACGACAGGTCTCGTAATGACAGCCCAGAAAATGGCATTTAAATTTCTTTTCATTGGTGTGTAAACTCGTGTGCATATCGTAATTCACTTTCTTAGCAAACGTCTCTTCACAGCCTTTCACAACAAATATTCAATTCAAATGTAATCAATGAGTGAAAGTATGACATACCGGGCCAATCGCACTGGTATTTATTAACACCGAGATGTTTGTTGCGGTGCTGTTGGAAATTATAGCTATTCCTGAATTGTTTGCCACATTCGGGCCAATCGCAGACAGTGATCACACCGGCGGTCACTGTCTTGTGTTTTCGGTACTTCTTCTTAACCCAATTGCTCGCAAGTATTGAACTATTCTGTGGTCTTATTCCTCTTGAGATCGATAATCGTTTAGGTTTTGAGTCATTTAATGGATTGTACTCTTCGTCGTCACCATCGCTTTGTAAGTCCATTACCGCATCAAAGCAGTGGTCAAACATGTCTTCGTAGTCCTCTTTTTTAGTGTCCAATTCATCCAAGTCTTGGTTATCGAACAGCCATTCGTTGTAACCATTGATTAAGACATTAATGTGTTGTTTCTCAGCAATGATACTCTTATCAATGCAAAGACATTTGTCAATAGTGTCCAAACACTTCTTAATCAGATGCTTAAGCGTCTGGTTCTCGACGCGGATCTTGTCCTCGACAGTCGAGCACTTCCTCGACCTCAAGATGGACTCAAAATTGTTTTTCTGTGAATGTTTGAGCCTCGAGTAGGTCTCCGATAAGCGATTGGCTTTGCATTTGTGTCTCAAGAGGGAAGCGGTTCCCGTATATCTCGTCTGCTTCTGAATGTCATCGCATTGATTGCACTTCACATAAGAGGTCTCCAAATGGTTGTACAAAATGCGCTCAAAACGACTCCACACTTGGCTTTTGCCCACTTGTGGCTCAAATGACAGCCTCGAGTCACCACTCCTGAGGAGAGACCAGAGAAACGACTTGTCGTCAAATGACTCGCCATTATTGGTCACATCGTTGTCATCGTTGTCATCGTGAGTGCTGTCCATCGATTGCGATTCATTCAAGTCTTGGATGCCTTTAAGACAGTGATGTCTGAGTAGAGTAGCGGTTCCCAGACTCTTGGTTTGCTTCTTAATATCATTACAATTAATACATTTAACGAAATTTGTCTCTTTGTCCTCATAATAGACCCGTTGGTATAGACTCCAGACCTCACTCTTCAGACCTTCGCGCGAGACAAATGTCAACCTCTTATCCATTTTGTTCACCAAATCTATGATAACACTCTTGTTGTCAATCGGATCCATATCTGGCGTGTTGTCGTCACTCATCAGTTGCGTTGAGTTGTCCATCAGTTCAATCCTATAATCAGTGATTCAATGATTGATACAAACAATCAAATCATAAATTAATTGTTTTATCAATTGTTTTGCTTTCAGACAACATAACAAACATTGAAAACATTCAAAATAGGCGTCACTTATGCCATACGTCACCCCTCTCTCTCTCCCTCTCTCTCTCCCTCTCTCTCTCCCTCTCTCTCTCCCTCTCTCTTCCTCTCTCTCTCTCTCTCTCTCTCGACTTAAGTTTTATAAATAATGAACTTTGTCATTAAATTCATTTGAGTTTAATTATATTTATACTTGATTCTTTTAAGTTATAGTAAATTTACATTTGATCAATCACAGTTTAGTGGATTCTTAGGTAAATGAGATGTCACTTGATTAGTCAGAATATCTAGATTCTAGATAATGTTTGACCACTAATGAGACAAATTGTCAAGTTTACATTAATATGAGGACTAATATTTGTGAATTCAAATACCTTTATAATATTTAAATTAATTTTACAAATTTAAGGTTTGTTTAAAGTTATACAATATGGGTATTAAATGAAATACAATTTGTTATTTAAAGAGACATTTCGATGACTTTGAAGAATAAGAGAATACAGTAAGAGATGATCTGAAAATTAGATATAATTAGATATAATTAGATATAATTAGATATAATTAGATATAATTAGATATAATTAGATATAATTAGATATAATTAGATGATTAGTATAATATTATTTATTTAAAATACAATTCAAAGTATACCTCATATCCGCGAAATGAGTTAATTATGAATAGTTTCCAGCAGTGAAAGCCAATCCTTTGAGATGCAATTCTCTCGATGAGACCCAATAACTATAGACATAACAAACATTTCAGTGATTCATTAAACACTTAATTATATTGTTTGACAAAACCTTAAATCTTTTGCAGACATCCTCTGCACTCCATTGAGCCATAAGACTATTGAGGTATTTGTATGATTTGTTGACCTCCAGATAGACTGTGGCACATGTATTGACCACCAGTAAGAGCATGAATACGAAGAATAAGTCGAAATACAAACAGAATATTCTTATAATTACAGACATTTCGCCAAATATGATGAAGAAGGACAAAGTGCTCAGAATAGTAGCGCAAGTCATCCAAACAAATGACAAGAATTGAGACCAATATTGACTGTCGTATTCACTAATCTCATTATAGATCTGATTTAAATCCTCGAAAATCTTGTTAAAACTAATCATTCGTTTCCTATTTTGTCGCAAACATGCCTTTAAACTAAGATTGATTTCTTTGATCTTATATTTTAAATAAAATGTGATTAAATAGAAATAAATTAATTGCCAAAAGATAGTGCCGTAGACATAGTTGACGATTATGAACCAACCGATGCAGTTGGGGATCACGTATGCGATGATCTCATGAATGGTTGAGTTGTTATAGAAGGAGAACAAGTTGATGAAGAATATGGTCGAACTCAACGACAAGGGAACGTAATCTCCGATTTGAAACAGGAATCGAGTTCTTCTCAGCAATTCTGTGACTATCTTATGACTCGTCAGTCCCATTGTTTTAGGAGTTATGGTACCGCTTATCATATGAAATACTTTCAAATAAGTTGGCATTATTTGCATCTTATAGTTGTAAAAATTCAAGAGACGAGAGTTTATACTCAACAGTATCGAGAAAATAACTGTCAGAGCGAAGTGGGCCCGAGTGCCGAAGACATAACCAAAATCGCCAATAAGTCGATAGAACTGGAGGTGTCTTTCGGGTAAAAGCAATACAAATATGGACCTGGTCACGTAATAGACTTCCAATATGAAAATAAACAACGGATAACGATATTTACTTCTTGTGATGCCTTCTACTTGAAAGAGTGATAAACCAATTTTGTATAAATGACTTCCCGCCGATCCGATACTCATATCTGACGCCAAATTCATCGTTGGATCAAACTTTGGACTCATTTCTGATCGCATTTTCTTATACTATATTTAATAACAAAAATTTATGACTTGTTTAGTTCCGAAGCAGACAATAAAGTGAAACCAATGAAAACTTATGTTTGAATTTGAATTATTTTGTGCTTTATTTAATTTTTTATTAAGAATTCTGTTTTAATGAAAACCCAATTTGAATATATTCCTCATTAAACATATTGAAATTCTATGTAAGCACATGAATAATTAAAATGTCCTATGAATTAATTGTACTTATTAAGTACAGAATTGAATAGTTAATATGGATTATACATAATTAAGTCATCGTTGATTTGGTGAATCATTAATTTCAATACTTTTAATCTTCAATAATTATTTGTTAACAGTTTTAAGTTTTTATAATAGATTCTAGTTGTCCCATGTACAGTATTCTGGCTTACTTTCTATAATAAAACTTCAGTTTTCGTCAAGTTTTCATTTTAAAGATAAATTATATTTACTGTATATATTATAAATATTTTTTTAAATACAAATAAAAAATTCTAATACCTGTACAAAATATTACGCTTTATTGGTTTAATATTATAATTTAAATATAATCTCATGAATATTTTTCGATTTTGAAGATCTAAAAAATATTATTCAATAAATTAGACTAATTAATGACAAAAATTCAAATTAGTCATATGAACTCAAACAGTATTACAGTTATAAATACAATATTTATTTTAGTCAATGAACACTATGAACAGAAATATTGCAACTTAATAAATAGCATAAGAATAATATAAATCATTTAAAGAAAATGACAAACTTGTTTTAACTCCATAATACAGTATGATTAATTCACTGTTGTTTATTACACAATAGACTAGTCAACATTTGTTTGTTCTTACGGTATATTCTGTAAAAATTTCATAAATTTATTTCCATAAATTAAAATGTTTATAGAGAATATTTAATTTATTTGATAAATAAATGGATAAAATAATTTTAAAATAAACAAACAATTATATTGTAATAAATTTTATTGATTATATAATAATTATCACAAAATACACTGGAATGTAAAGTGAGGTTCATAAAGAATATACCAGATGCTTATTATATTCTGTAAAGAATATGAATACTGTAACATAGAATCTGGAATTTTTGAAACTAACATTACTTTATTATAGTGTAAGAAAAACATAAATAAAATATTTGGTAATTAATATAATTGATTTTTATTATAATTATTTATTAATGACTTGTTGTGAACTTTTTGCATATGAAATCTCATGGCTTGTCGCGATGTAAACCTGCGATCGCATCCCATTTGCTGACAACTGAATGGTCGCTCACCTGACCATTGAGTGGATTAATAGAAATCATATTAAAATCACTAACAATTGAATAACTAGTTGACTGACCGGTATGTTTAAGTGTATGAGCTTTGAGATGATGTCTTTGTCTGAAACTCAAGTCACAAGAGGGCCAATTGCACCTGACACAATCATTTAACATTATTACTACATTACTGTAATATGAAACAAACTATTATCTCACGTAAACGGCTTTTGTCCGGAATGTCTCAATTTATGTGATTTCAATCCTTGTTCATAATTAGTCCTAAAATCACAGCCTTTATATTTAACAATAAAAACCATATCATCATGTGATATACAAATTCATAAAATTATAGACAGAAGTTGCATACCAGGCCAGTCACACTTAAGTGCCTTCTCGGGACCATGAATACGCTTATGACGTAATAATAGGGCTAAACATTTAATAAATGGATGCAAATTTATATAGTAATTTATATAATCACATAGTATTATCGGTATTAGTTTATTTACGAGTTAGTATTTTGAAATAAACAAAATGTAAACCTCTATATGTGGTCTCATATGTGCACTGATCACATTTGTGTGGCTTATCATTGGTATGGTATTTAATTGTATGTACTTTGAGTTGACACTTCTTAGAGAATTGTTCCTCACATCCGGGCTATGAATAAGAAATGAACAAATAATATACGGTATACTGGACTGCATTTGAAGCAATCAATGAAAAAATCAATACCAACCCAATCGCACACAAAGATTTTCAGCTCTAAATGAACGCTATCTTTGTGTTCCTTCAGGTTCTCACTGAACCTAAACTTCTTTTCACAACCTTTAGGATAATTTCATTGAAATCCATTTCATTAGTAAATCATATACAAAATTACTACACAAAACAAAATACAATATTATATACCGGGCCATTCGCATACATATCTCCATTGCTTGATATATTTGTTTTTAATTGAGTTTATAACTCGATGTGTATTTTGTGACTTTGTTTTCAGGGAATGCCTAAACCTATCAATTCGTGAATCATTCAAATTTTGTCTGCCATTCAAACCGAGTCCTTGAAGTGACTGCCATTCATCAGACAAACAGTTATTCTCACGGTTTTGGTCACAAATTTGAAAATTGGATAAAAATTTGTTGTAATTATGTATTAAGACATTCACTTCCTTTCGCTGATCACAACTGAATTTATTAACACACAAACAGTTGTCAATCATTTGCAGACACTTTTGGACAATGAGTTTGAGGGAAGTGTTCTCTTCATTCAATTGTCTTATCAGATACTTGTCATCCATAACCTTATTCTTGACTCTATTGACGGGTCTGTCACCAGAGGGTCTGCCACCGGATCCGTAGTGTTGTGAGGATGTCCTGCATCTGTGGTGAAGCAATCCTTTGGTGCCTCCGGAGTGGGTGTGCTTTTGCACAGAATGGCAGTGTTTGCACTTCACGTAAAGGGTCTCCAGTTTGTCCACAAGAATCCGTTCAAACCGGTTCCAGACCTCACTCTTACCCTTTTCGGCCACAAAAGCCACTCTTCTGTCGGCTCTACCAATCATATCAACGATTGTCTGCTTCTCAACCAATATTTTCGAATCCAATCCAATGGCAAACTCTTCTTCATAATCTTGCGGAGTGTCTTCGGTGTGGACCAACTCATGGTCACAGCTATGGCTCAGAAGACCGAAGTGATCGAAGTGTTCATAAATGTGGAGACAATGACAACACTTCACAAAATCTGTTTCCAAGTAATTCATGTAAATCCTCGAGAATCTGTCCAATACTTCACTCTCGCCCTCATGTCTACGATATGACAGTCTTTGGTCACCGCTTGCAATGCAATCCATCAAAAAGTTTTTGTCATTCAATTGAGACAACCAGTGGTCGCTGTGCTCATCAACCGGCTCTTCGCGAGTGTCTTCTAATGGTTCAATTGGTTGAGTCATGTCTTCGTGTTGTTGTCGGATGTGTTGACAGCGATGTCTGAGGAGACCTGAAGTGCCCGACTGTTTGGTCTGCTTTTGGATGGATTCACAGTAAATGCATTTCACAAAAGCCGTGCTCTTCTGGTCGTATAAGACTCGGAGGAATCGGTTCCAGATCTCAGATTTGCCGCTTTGGCTCTCGTATGACAATCGGTCGCTATTTCTCTCCATTTCACTCACAATAAACTCCTTGTCTTCTACTGAAGCCATCACTCAATCGGATCCACTGATAGTGCACTCAATCACTGAATTGAATGGAAATTATTTTAAAGTTTACTGAATATTGAAATCCATGTAAACAATAGTGAAGGAGAGGAAAGGCATGACATCTCTGGTCTCACCAATACTTGCAACAACTCTCTCTCTCTCTCTCACTCTCTCTCTCCTCTCTCTCTCACTCTCTCTCTCACTCTCTCTCTCTCTCTCACTCTCACTCTCTCTCACTCTCTCTCTGTCTCTCTCTCTCCGGAATAATTATTGTGATAATAAATAAGATGACTACAGATTGTTATAGATTGGTTTATTGGTCTCATATGTTGGGATAGGTAGGGGAAAGGGATGAGATTATGATTTATTATTTCAGAAAATGGATCTACCAACTTCCCACTGGACTAGTTTTAATTTAATAAAATTGATAGAGTATTAAGTGAATGACAAACTTTGAAAGTTATACATAAAGTAGAATCCGTATAATGAAAGTATAGAAACAGACAAACATATGATTAAACACACAATCCTATTATAAAAAGTTGGAAAATTAACATAAAAATTAATTTCAATTTAATCAAAAGTTCTATTTAAATAGAAATGGTCCAGGTAACTAGGACCAAGCATTGAGTTCAGTATTACCTAATTTATTTCAATATTTAAAATAACTTACTTTAATGCAATTAGGATAATTTTATAAGATATTGTATTAACTAGTTAAAATATAGTTTATGGAAATTAATATATTTTTATTAAATTATAAAAAATTTTACTATTAAGTTGCTACAGTATGTTGATTAAATATGGTACAGTATTACTGTATTACTAATTTTGTTTATTTATTAAAAGTGTTTGTTTATTAAATAGAGTAAACATGGCTAATTCTATTCAGTTTATTTTATTGCAATTATATGATAATATTGGAATTCAATAGAAACACAATTAATTAAAAAACCAATTTATGTCTAGGATATAATGGTCATATTATCGCTAAAACAAAAACGTTTAATAATTATAATATTAATTATATCTATATTAAGTTTCTTATTATTTTATACATATTTTATATCAATTAATAATAACCAATTGGCTAATATTAAGAATTCCAAGCAAATCCAGGTAACTTTAAGTTATTATTTTTTAGTTAAGTAATAATCAAGTATTATTTTACATGTTTCTATTTTTAATCTTTATTATTTAAGTTGTTATATTAATATTTTACAATTATAATATAATATAGCTTTCAAGTTTTAAAAACATTTTATGAATATTATGTTATATAATATGTATTTCATGTTTGTTTTGGAAACCCTTTACATTTTCAATTGTGAAAAAGTTTTTACAATTAACACAAAAATCATTAATAGTATAGTTTCCTTAACGGATCTGATTCTGATTAAACATTTGTCGCTTTGTCAATAGAAATCGTGTCGTAAAATAGCATATTTTTGTTTCATTAAAATTTATCTAAATGTAAGCCTCAGATAATAGACAGAATATATCCTTTATAAAAATTAAACGTGAAATGAGATATAATTTAGAAATTACACTGCAAACAATAATTTTAAATATATTAATTGATTACAATTATTGTGAGAATACGTGTGTAGTTATACTTCATGGCAGAGGCGAGAGTATCAACAACGGAATGGCCCATCATTTTGCTGATGATTTG